TTTGGTCCCCCGTCGGGGGGGCAGGGCCGCCCGCCGGGACGTGCACATTCCCACTGTCCACAGCAGCTGCAAACAGCTGGCTGAGCTACTACTAACGGCCCCTTTTTGAACACGTCAACAATTATACCCAAAACAGCTGCTCGTCTTCATTCTATTTGAGCTCCGTTTGACCCTTTTTGTGTCTAACAGCTGATTTCTCACTTCGACTTCGGGCCTGACGTGCACTGTATGATCACTGAGTGTGTGGGCAATGTGTAGAACCATCTGCAGTTTGCAGTGTCAGCACAGGGAAGCACGGTCACGCCGTGTGTGGTTGTACCAGGACAGCACCACCAGGGGTCGCAGTCTGCCCGCAAACACCTCAGCGTCTCTCCAGCATCATGAGCCTGCTGTTATTCTGCTGCCCCCCTCCAATCTGTGTGGTACACCAAACATCCCCTCTTTAACCCCCCCTCCCCATGTGACATCCTGATTGGCTGGAAGGTGGCGTAGGAGGGCGGGTGGTGAGCGTGAGGTGGGCGGATCACTGGACCAATCAGGTGCAAGGAGGCGGAGCCGTCATGTAAATAGTTGCGGCTGTGGGACGGCCTTGATTCTGTGCTTGTGTGTGTGTGTGTGTGTGTGTCCACACTCAGCTGCATCTGAGTTTAGTGAAGCTCATTTTGGAAGGACTTCTACTTTTCTAAAGTTCTACTCCATACGTTTACCCCACTGCATTTCAGAGGGAAGTACTGTACTTTCTACTCCACCACACTTATCTGACAGCTGTAGTTCCAACTTACTGTTCAGATTATGATTTAACTTAAACACACAAACAGCTCATGATACATCAGTAATAAACCAGTGGTGGAAGAAGCCAGTTTTACCTTCGTGGGAACTGACACCACTAATCAAGACTCACAAATGGAGCAGAGCACTAAATATAAACTGTGTAAAACCCAAAGGATGCTTGATTTTTGTTACTCAGCTCACGGAGCCAAGTCGCTCTGTTCACACTGAGGCAGTAGCTCATCGTCTAACCAAGGCAAAGCACGTGGCGACAGCTGAAGAATCATGGGAGAGGGAATGTCCATTAGTAAAGTTGATTTAAAAAAAAGTTTTGTTTCCTCACACAAGCGCACTTGTTATGAACTGGTGATATTATAAAACAGTGCTGGGAAGAGGAGAGGAACCACCGGTTGTGGTTTTGACAGTCGGGGTGGGACAAAGCACAGAACTATAACAACAAGACACTTATCACCGTTGCTTCTGTTCAACACACTTCATAACCTTAGCTGGGTGTTTATTACTGCAACCATGAGGAGGGGCGCTTGGTACGTCTGCTGCTGCAGGGGGACTATGTCAGGAAACGCTCCTGTGGGTCGTAGCAGAGCAGTGACAGGTTGTTTAAGTTGGCTTTTTCTGCTTCCAGTCTTGTTGCTGATCCAGGCTGACCCTGTCCCAGCTCTGGCTCTGCACTGAGCAAACAGATATAAGCTTAGGTCTGAGACCGACAGGTATCAGCTGCTGTACAGTAACTTAATGCATGTGTGCTGGGACTCAGCAGAAGCACATGCAGTGAGACTTTGTACACCACCAAAGCTTAGTCTGAGTTCTCAGAGATAATCAGAGCTATCAGTCTTATAATGGAGATCTAATCTTAGCCTCCTTCATCTATCGTCAAATCCATCCGCGCACCATGATGCCCGCTCACACAGGACAAGTGAGAGCTGGATATAAACCCTCCACTCTCCCTGCTAAGTCGTGACTGGCTGACCTTCACACCTACTCCCACCAGGTGGGAGGTGTGAGATTAACATCAGACTGCTGCGCTCAATTCACCTCATGACAGAGACTCAGTAACACTGACTGAACAGATTCTGTACAAACATTACAGCTGTTCTTCTGACAGCGTCTCTGCAGCTCTGCCATGTTCCACAAACCTGCACTACATATGGAAGGAAGAGTGGTGTCTGCCCACAAAGGCCGAGGGCGTCTGTGGCCCGGTGGGGCCCTCATCAGGGCGAAACGTCACCGCAGCCATGTACTGTATGTAACCATGCAGCCTGCGCAGGGCTCTAAGCATCTCACCATGATTAGTAACACAAAAAGCTCATCAACACAACAAACAGTCACAGAATGTCAGCCAGTGCCCAGGGCCAAGGACTGTGACATGTGCAGATTCTAACCCCTGTCAAATGCGCTGCCTGTGAATCTGCAGGCTACATGTTCAAACTGGAAAATGACACACACACACACACACACTCAGGAGGTAGGCAGAGGATGAATTACGGGAGGCAGGGAAGGACAAACGAGGTTGAAGCAGGGGAGGTAAAGGCAGGAACAAAGCAATGCAATTGGCTGGATCAGGATGAAACAGAGCAGCAGGATGTGTGAGATGCAAAGACACCACCCTTCAAAATGCTCGGCCACGCTGCTGAGGAGTCCCTCTGACATGCAGCGATCAGCAGTGAGGGGTATTCTGCGTATAAACCTGAACATCAATCAGCCATGAACTCCAAGAAAACATGAGACCCACAGCAAACTGAGGGAAAACCTGAAGTTGTCCTCGGTGGCCACCAGAGCTGTGGGGAGGTCATTTGGTGCACATCAGAGGTGAATCAAGACAAGTCCAAGTCTCAGATCAGTCAAGATGTGTCCAAAACAAGCCACATGTCAAGAGAGTCCACTACAAGTCTAGAGTCTTGCCAAAGGCTTAAAGGACACATGCAAAGTCTCGTCACAGCACGTTTCAACTCAAGCCTCTAACCAGCTAACACACAAAACCAATACAGGTCTCAAGTCAATCGAGACAAATCCAAATCAAGTCTCCAGTCTTGTCAGAAAGAGTCTATTATAAAAGTACACTACGACATTTATGCATCATTTTTCTACCTTAACGGGCAAAGCTTTACAGCGGCTTACTGTGGTCTCGGTGTGTCGAGGCCATGAAATGTAACACTGACTCCAGAATGAGGAGCTTAGTCTGACTTCTCTGGGGAAATAACAGTTGTAAACTGGCTTTTGTTTTTGAGCTTCAGGTGCCTGAGCTGGTGGAAACTGATAAACTTCCTAAAGCTGCACAGCAAGAGACTGGAGGGAGCCAAATTAAATGAGATGGAGGGTGCGAAGATTTTATTTCTTGAGAAGTTTTGGTTAATTCTCACTTTCATCTCGTTCTCTAATCTGCACTCCCTCCTCTGCAGCCTCGTTGCTGGACGCTGTGTGTAAACAGTGCGTACGTGCTGACAGTGTGGGCTCACTCCTGCACTGACGACGCCGCTGAAGTTGTCGCTTCACACATTAATGAAGCCTCAAGTTGTTTTTCTCTCATCACTTTTATTTTTGCTCTGACGGTTGCCAGAGAAACACTCACCTGGCCCTGTGCGTGAAGATTTACCATGCTCCAA